GCACAAATGTGGCACGTTCCAGAAACCGCTACTCAATTCTCAAGTCAACGTAAACAACGCTTTAGAAACTTTAGATGCACAGAAATTTTCTAATACTTTCACAAAAATCGCCGTTTTTTCACATTTTCGCTATTAATTCCTTTTTATAAATCATATATTTTGCAATTTAACACAATAAAACCATGTTTCCTGTCGAAAAATTGAATATTGAGAAAATTTACTATTTTGATGTTTATTTTATTCTCCCATTCTGCCTGTTGTTAGTGTTTAGTGTTGGACAATTTTTGCTGTTAAAATTAAGAAAATTATATCGAGCAAAAATAAAACTACTACTACTAAAACGCGAATATGTGGTAGATTTCAGACCTTGTGTAGTAGATGTGGTAGATGCTCAAAAAAGTGGCAGATCTACCACAATGTGGTAGAAGTCCGATCACTGCCCGTATGGTGCAGATACGTGGGCGATGAGTACCGAAGACGATGGAATGACGAACTGTATGAGACTTTTAACGACATGGATATAGTTAAGCGCATAAAAATACAACGATTGCGCTGGCTTGGGCATGTTGTACGCATGAATGACGACGTTCCGGTGAAAAGATCCTTCGCAAGGGCGCCCACGAATACAAGGGAAGGGCCAAGTGCAGAAGGATCTGTTCCCACTTGGAATGAAGAGCTGGCGCAATTCCGCAAAGGAGAGAAGTTTTTCTCTGCCCGATAAACGGTTGCAGTGCCAAAAAGAAGAAGTTCTCACACCTTGCGTGAGGGCTCTGGGCCTAACTGACAAGGCTGCGCTTACCAAACTCCTTTTTGATGGGTCCTCGCCATAGAACAGAACACCTGAAAAACACGTTTCTATGGAAACGGCCAATCATCTTCTCATTTATGCGACCCTGAAAATGAAACAGCTAAATATCGGAAGGTATTAATGAGATTCACATTCGTAATAATATACATACATATGTATAAAAGTATGTATGTTTGTATGTGACAGTAGGAAGTGTTTGCAGCCATGACAAAAACATTACAAAGTTAATTCGTTCTCTCAATTCGTCGGACATGATTTTTTTTCTGGCGTTTGCCAGCATTTTAAAGTCATATAAAATTAACAATAAAAAAATTAAATTGTTCACAATTGCTGTTGTTTGAGATTGAAAATGGGAATGTGTGTGTGAGTTTGGGTTTTGAATTTTTAAATTTAGTTGCTGGCAAACGTCAAACTGCCTTTCAATAGTTTTACCTTGTTATGTTTTTATCATGTTTGTACATAGCTTCAACGTTCCCAATGAAAACAAATGTTTCGCTGTGAAATTTATGCTTACTGCATTAAAACGAATTACCTACCTCTATTGCGCTTCTTAAGTGGTGTTATCCAGTTTGACTGCTAACTTAGGTACATACATACATACATAACAACGCTATATACATACATATGTACACATTAGCGGTATGTACATATACCCTGCATATTTTTCCTTTTAGTCCAAATTATCATATCATACGCATATATATATGTACATACATATATACAGTTTTATTACTCAAGGACGCCGATTACACGTGTCAACTTGAAGTCTCGGTTCCGAAGTCTCATGTAATAGGATTAAAACACTCTGCCACATATGTAGATATGTATATCTCGCATTTGAAATATTTTTTACATACATACATACGTATTAGCAGGGATGAAATTTTTTTCCAAAAACTTATCCCTAGATGTCTACAGATCATCCTGATCTTTTGACTAATCCAAGCTGTTACGATCCTCTCACAAATGGTTCCCCAGAAATTGCAAACGCTTTCTGCATAGTACGAAACACTCGCAACGATAGTTTCTACATCTTCCTCGTCCTTACAACTTTTACAGAAATTACTATACAGACGTCGTTCCGAAACACACAGGCATGTGGCGAATAGGCCAGTGTCCTGCTCGTACAAAAATATCGCGATAACTTTAATACGTAGAATACCAGCTGTTGTTACCTACTATGGACTTCTCTTCAAATTGTGCGCGCAGGCAACTCAGATAGGGTTGTATGCCTGGGCCCGTTCCCCAAATATTGTTCTAGGACCCAGCAAAGATTGTCGATGTACTGCATAATAGATTTAAGAAGTTTACGACATTCCTCAAACCATATCGATCTAGTCGTTGTCGACCTGAGCTTGTAAAACATTGCATTCTTCTGAAAGTTTGAAAGGAATTTCACATTCCCGGGACATCAAGGTTATGTTCAAAGCTGATCTCCTTGATAGCCGAGGCCACTCTGCTTCGCTTCAATTTCGTCTAAAATGTGTATAGCCTGCTAAATGCTCTAAGCCTTAGAGCGCTTTTAGCTGCAGAGCATTTTAAATTTATATCTATGTATATTGGAATGTCTAGGAGTGGACCAATGCCGTGCATTTCAAATCATGTAAAGTGAAAAACGTAGAGCTATTATGCTTCACCTGGAAAAATTCAGTTTCTTTAGGTGGACCACTCTAATGTACAAAAGCACATATATTCATACTTAATCGATGTCTAGTATTTGCTTCACTTTTTACTGTTTTGTTTCAATTTTCTTTTGTTTTTCTCTAGTTGCAATATATTCGCTCGAGGCAAAACGTTTCTACTGAAACGAGCGACAAGATTAAAGTGCACGATTAAGAGGCTGCATCTACCTTTCGTATAAATAGACGTGCATTCTGATTTTTTACATAATAACAGAACGAACAGCATGAAGTTTCTTGTGATCTTGTCGCTCTTGGTTTGCTTGTTTGCATCCAGTCAAGCGCAGTTTGGTGGCGGTGGTGGCGGCCCAATAGGAGGCGGAGGTGGTGGTCCAATAGGAGGAGGCGGTGGTGGTCCTATTGGAGGTGGTGGTGGTGGTGGCCCCATTGGTGGTGGAGGCGGTGGTCCTCTTGGCGGAGGAGGTGGCGGTGGCCGTTGATACGATTCGCTGGACATTTTGAAAATAAAACAAATGGAAAACAAAAATTTAAAGCTTTTTATTATTAAACTAGCAGACCCGGCGAACTTCGTCCCGCCCAAAATAAATTTTTTTATTGAAATATTTTGTCCAACGTTTTCGCCAGCAACTCAAGTTTGTTTGGTTTTGTGGTCAACAGAAGGCATATCCCCATTGCCGTCTTAAATAACCTGACGAAAGCGTTATACGGAGAAGAAGTCCTTGCGGCTCGATAGTGAATCGTCCTTGAATCTGTATAGTATAGTTGGTGGCAATTTACAAACTGGTGAGTATCATTGGTCCACATTCTGTTTAGTCACCGTAAAGCAAGGACCGCAATGGTTCTGATGGTTGATTTAACGGGAGTAATTTAACTTTGATCCCTGCGCCTCCGAATCGACGATTTTTAGCAATAATTCGGTTCCAGAACCACTAAAAATTATCATTAAAATCGTTTCGGTCGTTTAGGAGTTAAGCCGCCAGAATAAGTCTTTTACTTACTGACACTCTTCGGCATTTTTTCCCATACAAAAAAACTCTCACGCATTCGTTATACGGAGAAAATGCGCAACATCATCAGCGAAAAAAATTCTCAAAAATCAACAGTATCTTATAGCCATTAAAAACTTGCACTTTATGATACTGAAATTGAGTGAACTACAAAACTGCATATTCAAAATTTGGTACAAAAAAAAATATTACGAAAAAGAAAAAAAAACACTGTACTCTGGGTGTATATATTTACAGATAGGTAAAAGTTTCAATAAGTTTGGAAAGCACCACTTCCCTTTTCCAGTAGCCCCAAAATCTCTATACCAATTTCCAGGACATTACCACAAATACTTTCAGAGATATACGGTAAAAAAAATTCGATATGCATGGGTGATGCCACGCTCCCTTAATATATCCGGAAAAAAATAATCGTATATGCTAATCTAGGCAAAAAGCTAACTACGTACCAAATTTTAAGCAAATCGGACCATAACTACGATTTTTTCGAATAGATCGGTCCCTGCTCCACTTCCCGGAAAAAAGCATCCTATGTGCTAATCTAGGCAAAAAGCTACCCAGGTACCAAATTTTAAGCAAATCGGACCATAAATACGATTTTTCCATATAGATCAGTCCCTGGTCCACTTCCCGGAAAAAAGGATCCTATATGCTTACATAGGCAAAAAGCTACCTACGTACCAAATTTTAAGCAAATCGGACCATAAATACGATTTTTCGAATAGATCGGTCCCTGGTCCACCGGAGGGTTTTCCCAAAATTTTCTTTCTTAAAAACCTTCTCCTGGCAATTACGAACAACTGAAAAAAAAAATTTGCCAAATCGGCCCAACCGTTCTCAATTGATGAATTACTATACATTTTTCACACCATTTTTATATATATAGATATATTTTCATTTAGTATTTGTCTGTGCTAAGTCAATTCACACTGTGGTGTAGTGGTAAGCAGTGCGCGCTTTCACTCATCAGCACCTGGGTTCAAGCCCTGGTCAAAGCAACATCCCATAAAAATATAGAAAAAGGTTTTTTCTTAACAGCGGTCGTCCCTCGGCAGGCAATGGCAAACCTCCGAGTGTATTTCTGCCATGAAAAACAGCTTCTCATTAAAATACAATCGCCGTTCGGAGTCGGCGTAAAACTGTAGGTCCCTCCGCTTTGTGTGACAACATCAAGGCGCACGCCACAATTTGGAGGAGAAGCTCGGCCAAACACTAACATATGTGTAAGCGCCAATCTATTATTATATTATAAGTCAATTCACACACTTGAAGAAAGTTACGACAGAACCTTTCTCGATTATCCCATATTATTCTAGGGATTGTACAGACCCTTATACTTACATACATATAGACAACGACCAAAGTTATACCAGCTAGAAAGTTGGTGGACCTCAACAAAACCTCAAGGTCTGCAGTGTTCCGTTGGAAATTTTCATAAAAGCACAAAAAGGGCTAATGGAAGAAAAAAGCGTCATTATATCGATGGTCCTCTTCAATAACGGCACAACTCAATTTCATGTTTTTGAGCGTATTTCTGAAAATTACCGTTATATGGGAGGTAGGCGTGGTTATTGTACGATTTTGCCCATTTTCAATACCAAACTTTATTAAACAAATATTTAGTGCAATGGTATATCATTTTTACAAGAATTAAATTGCTTAAAAAGTCAAAGTTATTGTTTGCCACTTATGTTCATTTATTAATTTTTAAGGTTTTTCAATCAATCAAAATGCAGTTCATTCCCTAACAAATACCATATAAACCTAAGCTTAAGATTTTGTAGAACACTTAAAAAAAAATTCATCATTATTTCAAACTTTTTTCCTGAGAAGTGTTTTTGTGTATACAGTTTTATAGCCCATTAAATTTTAGTGTAATATTTTTTTTACCGAAGGTGTTTAGCGCTGCTACTGAATTTGAAAATACGTAAATATTTTAAGGAATTTTAAAAGAGCACTTAAAAGGGGAAAATTATAAGTAAATTGTAAATGGGGCACGAAAAATTGAGGTACTTAGGCGGGTTGGGTAAATAAGCGGGGAGGTACTTAAGATAGGGATTTTCTTCTGATTATATTAAAAAATTCACGGTGTCCAAAAATGTTGGTTACTTAAGCGGGTTAGGTACTTAAGCGGGGGGGTACTTAAGCGGGTTTCACTGTACTTTAATATGCCACAAATAGACTACGTGGTCCAACGATATTCGCAAGGTCTGTGTGCTTGGTATACATACCCAGTACGGAAAGAAACTAGTTTGAATATTGATGTTCAACCAGTTTTTTACCCACTACAACAAATTGAAGATCTGATTTTCCTGCTTGGAACGAACTGTTGACTTTAACATGGCGATGTTCTAGGAAGCATTCAATTATCCGACTCTGCATTTGATTTCAACTACTTTAAAAGGCATTCGGCTTCGAGCACTTCAAAGTCAGTATGTTTCGTTTCAATATGCTTTCGTTCTGCACTTCACAGATACTTTTTCATACTTCCAAGACACAAATTGTTTCTTACGGTACATTTTGTATAATCAAAAATGTAAAAATATTTGATGCATTTATATACAGATGTTTTTTTCAACCAATTTAAGGTTACTTAGTATTAAATGCTGAAATTGTTAATTTCCCAAAGTTAGATGATTTTTCAACAAATATTGAATTATTTGGTGATCCATTTCAATGAAGTAGTGTTCAGACAACACTTTTTAATTTATACAAAAATATTTATATACATAGCCATATAATCAACAAAACCATAAAAACAAAGTAAGAGATTCAGTTGCGGTCAAAAAAATAGCAGCAAAATTCAAAATGATGCTGTTGGCAATCTTTGTTTATTATTGTTAATAATTTTCGTTTAAAATATGGGTCGATATTTATCAGATACCACACAAACTAAAGTTTTAAAGCCTACAAAAAGTTCAAATTAAACTCAAACAAATTGTCATCAAAATTTCGATATTTTTAATTAGATTTCCAGAAAGATTTCGAGCAGTTGTATAGCCCATTAAATTTTAGTATAATAAAGTGCAAGTTTCAAGTCGCTAAAAATTACCATTGATTATTTTTCTTCCGTTAAAGCATGACCATATTGAGTAGAAATTTACAGGTCGAAATGAATAATGAAATTTTCGAAAATTCGGGAAAAATCGTGTCCCGGCAAAAACGGGACATTTGGCAACGCTAATTTACATACAAAGTATTATTTTAAAATACAAACATTTTTAAACGATAATCAAATATAAAGAATTCATTTTTGCTATGCATTATTTTTCTCAGTATAGTTTCAAGTCCACTTGAAACATTAGGGAGTGCCGCTATTTTTCCTAAAAATTTCATTTACATATATACTAAAAACGTTTTTGGACGGTTTTTTGTTCCAGTATAACATCATCATTTCATGAGCCATATCTAAATCTACTGATACGCTATTCGCCGAGTGATTGGCGAATCGAATACGGCTTACATATGGGTCATTTCCAAACAAAGTGTACATGGCAGCTGTTTTTTTATATATTTTTAATATTGATAAATTTATCCTCTCAAATCGTTTACTCACGTGAAAATTTGTGCAGAATACGAAACTGCTTTCAAACTTTTAAAAAATTAAGCTTTTTTCTTATTTTTGCATTTTTGTAAAATATATTCCAGAATGTCACTTTTTTAAAGTAAGCTAAAGGAACAAATAAGTTTAGAAACTAATAGAAAAAAGTATACTAACCGAAAAGCATTGTACTGATTTTTAACATTAAATGCATGCTTTTACATATTTGCATATCACTTTAAAAGTAATTTATCAGATAAGATAATGTTGAAGTTTTTCCCACCTTTCTCATGACATTAACGGAAGGTTTTTCTTAAGAGGCAGGATTTTTTTTTCATCTTCATTGGGCAATAATTTCCCATATATGCCATGTGAAACTTTTTGGAGAAATAAGCTCTTTAAATAAAAAATCCGTTTTCACCTAAAATTTCTTATTTCACGAAAATAAAACGAAAGGAAATCATCGAAACTCCTCAAGCAATAAATAGACATTGGTAGTTATCTTACTTACCATGGTGCAATGATAAGTTCACTTAAAACACACAAAATAATTGCTTTAATAAAGTTATTTCTTATTTCATTCGATCAATAATTTCTTGCGCTTCATAACTGCAATGCACGTGGGCAAACACGTTTAATTGCACTTCAAAAATTGCAAAATTTTTGGTTCAATTAACCAGGAAATTAATTAACCGATACTCGTTTAATTGAACAGTTCGTTCATTTACAGAAATACCGCAACAAATCAATTAACCCCTAATTAGGCGCATGGGGTCAAGGCTATTTCAAGTTGCAAAAAAAAAATGTGTTGGAGTGCTTGGAGCGTGCTCACGCTCGAGCTAGCTTCCAAACTCCCCTCGGGCTACCTAAATTAGTCACTGCCAGAACATCGGCGTGCACGTATGTGTCGCTACTCTTTTAACAAGTTTGAAGTCAAAGTTATGATTTTCTTTCTTAAAGATAACTATAATGAAAATCTTTAATATTTATGACAATACACATTTCGTTTTATTTATTTAGTCACGGCTAGAACATCGTCGCGTATATATGTGTCGCTACTCGCTTGAGTGCTGACCCCATGCGACCAGTAACGTAACATTTTTTGGGGGAGGTAAGTTTTTAATTTTTTTTTAAGTTTGAAGTCGAAAATATGTTATGTTTTTATTTAAGTTAATGATAGTACTTTGATATTTTTGATAATACACACTTCGTTTTTTTTTATTTTGAAAACTCTTTTTTCAACAGTTTTATCGGGGTCACTGGGGACCCCATGCGACTGATTGTGTGATTTTGTTTATGCGCCCAATTAAGGGTTAAAGTAAAAACACAAACGTTTTTGCAAATGATATTTCGCACTCCAATCGCCAATGGGAAAATACGCGAACCTGACCTAACCTATACGCGGACAGAGTCTATAACCGTTTGCATTATTGTTGTCTACGCTTTATTTTACTAGCGCTTCCCTTTGTCACGAATTTCAGTCAACCTATTGTACATACATACATAAGTATTCATGTGCATTTATGTACACACATTCATAAATGCAAAATAAACAAATATTCTCGTCAATATGATGGCAGCAATCCGTTTTTGTTGTTGCGAAATAAATTCGTAGAATACCATATCACAAGCAGTATAAAAAGCGACTGATTCGCTATGATTTTGTACTACTTCAAATCGATCAGCATGAAGTTCTTAACGGCTCTGTTGCTCTTGGTGGGTCTGAGTGTTGCGTGTCAGGCTCAACGCGGTGGAGGCGGAGGTGGTCCGTACGGAGGAGGCGGTGGTGGGCCGTATGGCGGCGGCGGAGGCGGTGGTGGGCCATATGGTGGAGGCGGTGGTGGGCCATTTGGTGGTGGCGGTGGAACTCCTTATGGCGGTGGCGGTGGTGGTCCATATGGAGGAGGTGGTGGTGGATATTTCGGAGGCGGCGGCGGTGGCGGCGGTTACAAACGCTGAGCACTTTTAAATGGACAAACGAACAAATTTGTATTATAGTAAATCTACGAAATCTAAAATATGTACTTGAGTAAAATTTGCGTTTGTGTTTCATTTATACGGAGGGGTAGACTGAAGGAATAATTGTGGTATTCACCAAATTGAGCAAGTGCCCTGGCAGCCTGGCAAAAGAGCAGATGAGCTCAAGCAACGACTGTTGACAACCGTGCCAGGCCACTTGCTCAATTCGGTGAATACAACTAATGTATTATAACTGGATACGTTTTTTTTGACACCGATTGGTATTGGCAGATATGCAGATGGTTAATGCACTTTTTGCATTGTCGTTATTGCAGAGGACCATCGATATGCAAGTTGCTTTGCTTCTTTTCTGTCTGTGCTTTGCACTTCTGTGCACCACATTTTTTAGTCTAATGGTGATTTAGTTTCTTCAAAAAATTTTGCCTTTCCCCGGTGCAAAATGTGTTTGATGTCACACTTAACCCTGTAAAAGGGCATGTTTTTGCCTTCATTCCTTGTCTAGCTCACGCATTTCATAATATTATTGCTTTAAAGAGCAGAGAATGAGCCTTTTTTGCGAATACGAAAAGAGAAAGGGGCAATAAAAAGGCCACATATTTTGGAAGAACCAAAATCACCATAAGAAAAATAAGTTGTAGTATGCAATGTGTATGTATTAGGGCGGAGTAATTTAATTTCGAAAAAACTGTATGGCATATTCGAATTCTACTTCCAATTCTAAGTAAAAATGGTGAACAAGCTATATACCAAAAATGACGTTGAACCCTCCCAATTTTTAAAAGAAAAATCAATGTATTATTCATATTGTTCTTGAATAACGAAACTTAACTTGATTCGCCTAAGAGATCGTGAAAACAGCAACGAGAGACTTTGTGTATTAAAGACGCTAAGGCTTTTTTGAAAGACCTATAACTCTGTTCACTCCTTCTACTTTGCACCTACGGGTTGACAATGAAAGTAAAAACTCCTACGAATATAAGTAATTGAAGAGCTAGGTGCAGCAGGACAATGTTAATGATGCGTACTTGAGCCATAAC